TCAGTGTTACTTGCCTGCTTTTCAAAATGCAACAAAGTGTGATGTCTTTGTTTACATTTATGACAACAATATGTAGATTGACATTTTTTTTGCGGTGTGAGCACGACTTAGACAATTTATGCAGAGATTATTTGTTTTTATCAACTGATGACGCTCTGGAGGAGATTTTGACAAAAGGTCGGGGCATTTGTAAACGAGATGATTACTTTTGCATAAACAACATAAGTCTTGATTTGAATTGGTTGGCAAATTGCTACTATTTAAAAAAGCAGATGACTTGATCAAGTTAGGATTTTTAAAAAATTTCTTTTCTTTTCTGGCTACTGACACATTTTCTAAGGCAGCGCAATGATTATTTAAGTAGCCCATTAACACAGAAAATTTTGGAAACTTTGTAGGGTCATGCTGCAACTCAAACTTGGTTGCTACTGAAACATCAATACGCTTGAGCAGCATTTGAACTAGGATAAAATCCCATTGGTCAGTCGGCAAACTGAAGTTCTTTAATGCAGCAATATTATCTGCAAAAACGTCAAGCAGACTACGCAAATCCTGCGGATTATCATTAAATAATTTAGGACTGTTTTCAATAGCAGCCCAGTGATTGGCAGCAATAACTCTAGGTTTCAGATATCTTTTTATGAGTGTTTCGTATGCAATTAAATAGTTGTCAGCGGTTTGAGGTAGTTTCTGAACTAACGAGAGAGGTTGACCTGTTAGAGTACTAACCAAAAAATGAAACTTCTCTGCGTCAGTTAGGGTGACACTATTATGAATTACGGAATCGATGATGTCCTTATAGGACTGAAATTTGGAAATATCTCCTGAAAAAGAAGGCAAGTTTATTTTGGGAACTATGGCGTTCACATGCGCCGATGCGCCAGGCGCTATGACACTAGGGGTCGTTGCAAACAAACTATAATAAATTGCTTTTGTTGGGAAAAATTGATTATCAAAACCAACTCTTACTTGGTCCTCAGTTTCAAAATCCTCATGAGGGATTAAAGTGATCACAACATTATGTTGTTTACCAAACTCAAGTTGTATCGTGTCAATTTGCTCATATTGCATTTTAAACAGAATATGTTGAGATGAATCATTTTCAGCGCTTTTGGCTATATTAAAAAGTTCCGTCATGCGATTGACTTCGGTTTGACGCAATGATTTCGCCCTTCTCAGCTTATCAGTCATTTTTTCAAAATAAAATTAACTGAATAAATGCATAGAAAAATCGAGTGAATAAGCTTAAAAATCATAGAACAATTTCAATGTCCCTTGTATTCAAAAGGAACCAAGTAATAAATTGCGAGGTATAAACTATTTATAAACGATTTATAAACCATAAACCAGCTTGCTGAAGCTTGATAAAAAACGTGGTTTGTTTATATTTCGCCCAACATGAATTACTAAATGTAGTTAAATTGCCAAGAATGTGTGATTTTATATTTGAAGGTCAAGAAAATGAATCGATATTTGAATTTAAATGAAATAAATATCTAAACTGAAGTTGAATAACTATTGTAAAAAAACTGTAAAACTGAATTTGAAGTTCATCCGGCTCGAAGGACCAAAAATGTCGTGTTTGAACCAGGTTTTGGAATGCGGAGTAAAATTTCAATATTTAAATAATAATTGACTTCCAAAATCTAGTCTATAGCTGAGCATCAGCTGTGAGAAAAGTGGACTGTATTTTGCGGTTTCAAAATTACGGGTACAATTGAGATCTTACCTAATCCAAATCCAGTTACAGCTGCGAGTTGCGGAGTTGCGGTTGAACTTGATTGATCACAGTTCGCGAATACCACGGCCGGCAAGTTATTTGCGGTATGGTTGAGTGCGAGTAAAATTGGTCGAGAACGGAGGGCTTCTAATCGCGACCATTCCCAAAAATGCACTGGTTTTTAATTTCCGACGCGTCACGTCGAATTGTCGTATGATTCTTCCACGCATATATGAGGGCAATGCGTTAAGTAGGTAAAGACCTCAAATATTCAAGAACGCGAAAATAATCTGAAGGGTGAATCGTGGATTATCCAAATTTAAAGTATTGTACTTCAATAAATAATTGGCAAAATAAACAAAACAAAATAATTCAATGAAGGACAATCTTAACAATTTAATACAAATAACTTAAAACTATTGAGTGGACGAAACACTGATATTTAGTGATAAAGTCTCTGCCCAATATTCCATCTGAAGGGATCCCTCTGTAACACCTTTAATTTTTATTGCATTTTGTCTGTCCACCAGTTGTCCTTGATTTATCTTGCTCCATTTACAAAATGATATGTCCGCACCTGTGTTGACTAAAAGTACAATTTCTTCGTTCCCAGTCATTCCATTTGCAATAACTACAAAATTCTAAAGTGACAGGTCCAAATTAAAAATATTCACGACCTCCTTGCTGGACCTACTTGGAGGTCTTGCTGGTTTTCTGAACTGTCTTCATTGAGAAACCTTATATTCCGAATGTTTTGCCCTCTTTGGCTTTGGTTTCCTCGGCTGCCTCTATAATTTTGGTTTTGGTAGCCACCACGGCTGTAATTTGCTTGGTAGTCATTCTGATTTCTGTAATTTGAGTTTTGATGGTAATTGGAGTAATTGGCTCTTCCTCGATGATAGCTTCTATTTTCGCCTCTTGTGTTTTAATTTCTGGCAAATAGAACTGTTGAGCTAGTTGCGTCTGCAGTAATATTCACAAATTTTTATAATGCCTCTTGACAGCTCTTAAACGTACCGGCTTTCATTATAATCTTAACTTTGTCTGAGTTGCTATTTATTTTTAATGATTTCACTGTTACGTTTGTAGCGTAAGAGTCAGCTACTGGCACAAAAACTCCTTCGTTGATGTAAGCCCTTCTCAAATTTTGTGCAAGAACTTCTACTTCTGAAGCACTTTGAAACATCTTTGTTATGCTGCCTTAAAGAAATAAGTTTCGCCGAAACCATCTGCGAGTTTTCCACTTAAACTCCAGCTCTAAGTTTTACAATAATATTTGCCAGTGCTTTTCCAGTAAGCCTCGTTTTCACATATGCAACTGCATTTTCCTCATGATTTTCGGCATTGGCTTGAAGTAAATGTAAAGCATCTAGAAAAGATTGTAATTTATCAGCTGTACCATCAAACTCATTGGGCAAAACTTTGCGTGCAAAATTAAAAAATTCAATTTTTGACATCGCCATTATTTTTACTAAACTACTTTTATTTTCGTTTAAATCTGAAAAATTGTCATCTGTCTCATCTGACACTTCTGGGTCGTCTGAATCGTCTTGTTCACCTTCTTCGGAATCTTCGTCTAGTATATTTGGATTAATGCATTTTAGGCACTAAAACGGAACCTGATATGACACTTTAAGAACCAAGTAAGACCTAGTAACTTTATCCCTGACGGAAGAAAAGAGCTTTTTTACCTGATATACTTGTTCAAGTGTTAAACTAGAATGTATTGAACAAATAAATTTAATAAGTTGATTATATTCTTCTAAACATCAAATGAGATTATCAGTAACAAATTTACATATACGTTTCCTCTGGAATTAAAATCAAAAAAAATAAACATTGTCATTGGCACTTTTTGAATAAAATACTAACCACTGCGCCGATATAGTAAAAATCACATACCAATTCCAAGTTTCTTTTAACTACCAAATTACCGAAGTTTGGTCTCCTTGTATTCTTGTCTTGCCAATGGTGATGCAAATCATTTTTCCTTTAAACGTCTCCAGCTTGGATTGCGTTTACTTTCAACATTCTGCTTCTAGATAAATCTCTTTTCAAAGCCTCTGCGATAGGCTTTTCGTATTTTTAACGCCACCAGAACCAATACTGCCACAGTGATAATATATAAAATAACCTTGATATCTGTTGGTGCCTGGATAGTTTCCTACTCGACGATGAAATTGGAGTTTACCACGCCCAAGTCAGTGATTTCTGCATGCTTAGAACTTGACTTTCCCATGTTGTAGAATTATTTCACTATTTTAAGTATTAGGTCTAACTAACCATTAATTTTACTAATATTTCCACCACACTTAAGGCCTTAGGCAGGATCGCCATGTAATAACAGGATTTTCATTTAAGAATGCCAGGTCCTAAGCGAGGTATAGGCAAGATGTTACTTTTATGATTATCTTTATTAGTCTGATTAACCTAGATTATAATTGTGTCTTGATGACCAAATATATTATTATAAACAATGAGCGTAATGAAATAATATCACGTAATGTTATACAATTGATGTTGCACTAACTAACCATTATTCAAACATATAATATACTGGGTGATACAATTATATCGCATCACAATTTTATTACGTAGTCCAACCTACAGAAGGTCAATCTGTGATCAGTCAGATTGAGAAGATAAGCAGTTCCATATTCAAGTAGAAAAACAGAGTTCGTCACAGCTGTGATATCAATTAATGTTGATGATTGATCAGAAACTCGCGTGGGCTCTTTGAGTGCTTGATTGAGACTGTAGCAGTCAAACCCTTGACTCAGTTGTCTTCGAAGTAAACAGTCGCTCCTCGAAAAGTAGACATTAACATCGCCACAGGTGATGCAATTGGAGAGCCAGGGGGGCTGTATAATAAACCCAGAGCGATATTCTGTTGTGCAATACTCACAGAGATCCAAAGTTGTTCCACAGGGGTCTGCACTGACACATCAAAATATTCACTTGGCCTATATGAAGTGTAATGATTATTTTGTGTCCGTGCATACCTAGTCCTGGTTTTGCAGTAGCTAATGAGTCATGAGGAAGGTATACTGACATCTAAATCTCTTCGAAGGTAGTTTTAGTGAGCCATTATTAAAAATTGTTTTTTTTTTTAGAAACATTGAAGTCAATAGCAGATTAAACTGTTTCTATCAATGTATTAAATTGCGTGAATATATATTTTGGCGTGCCCACAATTTTTTTTTTTTAATAGCTCATAATAAGCAAACATACATATTTTTAGCAATGTTTTATAAGATTATTTTCCTAAACAAATTTTCAGTCATGCATAGTTTGTTGATACTGTTTCAAGCAACAACGCTTAATGTTGCTATTAATGCTAATAATAGTACCTTATTGACCGTAATGATGTCGAATAATGTAAGTAAAACGTATAAACTTATGATACAATGCTGAAGCCATTAATTTTTAGTTTGTAGAAATAAAAGGCAGTGTATTCAAGAAGTTCGACAAAAATAATTTGTTTCAAGTTACCTGTAGTGATGTAAGGGAAAGATTCCATTTAGTAATTTTACTATTTATTGTGTTGCTACAAACAATGAAAGAGTACATGTGGAAGACTGACGTTTTCTGGCAACTTATGAGAGATTCCATGACGGTACTTTTTACTGAATTTTTAGTCGATTGGATTAAACATGCCTTCATAACCCGGTAATCAACTTTTCATATTCTGCACAAATTTTTCTAAGTAACAATTTGTAGATTCAACGAACTTCACATTGATGTCTACAAAGACTACCGCACGAGTTTGGCATACGATTTATCCCAAAAACAACAAAAACATGCATTTTCTGGACATTCCGATTTAGTGGCAAGACGAATGGGATTTATTACAATTCCATTAGGTGTAGTTGTTGCTAGAGTATTGCTTACATCCATTAATTTATATAATATTCCTGCAGTAATTATATTTTTTATTGGGTAAGTGTTGCATTGTATTTATTACAATTTTTTTCAATATTATTCGTTTTCAGATATCTGTGTTTGTGGTCTACGAAAATCTTGAATAGTATCCTTATTTTTGGGAAAGCTTGCAGCATTATAGCTCAACATAAATTAGACCGCACATCACAGAATAGTCCAGTGAATCAATCGGAATCAAAAGATAAATTTAGAAGTATAGCAACAAGTCCCCAGCATCCCATTAGTGAACAACCAAAAAAGGTTTTATTTAATAATGGATTTTCTTCGATAGGTATTTTATAGATAATTTTACAAGATAACTTAAGTTGCTTGAATATATTTGTAGATGTAATACCAAATGAACTTGATATCAACGATCTAGGAGCCTCTGTTATTTTTGCTAATAGCACTGTAGACTTGAAAGATGCAAGTTTGAATGAGGAATTGTTAAATGGCGATGATATTATTAGAATTGAGCAAGTCGCTGATGAAATATTGACTCGTAGTGTGCCGGATTTTAAAAAAGAATTGAACGACGAAGATTTGAATTGTGTGAAAACAGAATTGGAGGGTTTGAAGAAAAGTGAGAGTGAACCAAATTTGATAAATTTGTCTGAAAATCAAAATAAGGAACTATAAACGTTTTCATGCCTGGTATTTTTGTGAAAAAAAAAAAATATTTAAGAATAAATATGTGATACTATTTCATGAGGACTCTCTTGCATTAATATATTTTTTTTTTATTTGAAATTTATACAATATAGGAAAAGGATGCATATAAAAACGGTATGTGAATTAGGTTGTCTTTTGTTTGCCAACACTTTAGGTATGTTCCAATAAAAACCAGAAACCCGGAGATATTTTCTGTAATTCTTAGCAAGCAACCAACTCCCTCAAACCCAGTTTATATTTTTTGTTGCAATAATTTTGTTTAACAGTGATTCCCATAGATCCGCTGCCTATTGTTGAATTTTATTTATTTATTAAAATTTTAAATGTGCGTTATTGTGTTGTATATATTTTTATACAATTTATAAGGATTTTTGTAATATATTAAATTAAGAAAACATTTTTGTTTTTACTTCAACCCATTTATATTCAAGACAAACCTACATTGTTGAATTAAAGGTAACACCTCAATTTTATATACAGAATTAGTAATGCCATGCGTGATTTTTAGTATGTCTGATGCTTTTCTCAAATGATATATTCCTTCTTTGGTTCTGTTTTTGAATAATAATAATTTGCACAGTTTTAAGTGCAACAAGCCTGTTAATGGATGTATTGTTGGATAATATTTCCTGTAAAAAAAAAATGTTTTATCAAAATAATGTCGGGTTTATTCATCTTCAGATAAACTTGCTGGTATAACAAGACAAATATTATCCAAACTATCGGGCTGACCAATAGGATCGCATATTTCAGGTTCCATTGCCTGTCAGTTTATCAGAGGGTGAATAAATCAGACCAATAATTAGACTTACTGGTAACTATCGATGAGTTCCAACCCATACTCCAAGGCACTATCAAAATCTTCCAAATCTATAGCGCTTTCAAATGCTAAATCCAAAGTTTTGATACGTCTCAAATGGTATTTGTACAAAACATTTTTTTGTTTGGCCAAGCAAACCTTACAAACATCCAGATCTAAGGAAAGTATTAAGAAAAAAATAGTAATTCCAATTATGTGTAAATATAAAGCTCCAAAAGGATACAAGTATTATTCTTCATATTACTTATATGCATCTCAGTGATTTCCACAACCTTTTTAAATTCATTTATGAATTCTTGTGTTGCTACAGTATTACATTTGGCACATACAGACTCGTTATCACTTATTCCTATATAATTATCACAACATTTATTTGGGCATTGGGCACCAAAAATTTCAACTAGATTTTCTGGTGCCAAACATTTGGGACATTCGCACAAAAAATAATAGGTTTCTAATAAGTCTTTTCGTCTTTCTTCCGTTGTTGCCATAACATCTATGTAACTTATTCTAACCTTAAGCATTTTTCAATAATATTAATCACAATTTACTGAAAAAAAATCTTACTTTGGACCAATCCAATTCAGGCAGTGTCTCTAGAGTTCTTAAAATTAACGTGGTCCCTTCAAAGGTAGCCAATGCGTTTGGTTGGCAGGAATGATCAATAATAGAGGCCGCTAAATAAATGCCTACACCCAAACTTTGTTGTTCTTGATTGCAAATATTGAAACTATTGACGCACATCTAAAATAAATTATCATTGGATGCACAGAGATTTTTTTTATTTAAAAATTCACCCTTCCATATAAGCCCATAAATTCTGCAAAATTTGGCAGTTCTTCTTGTTGGAATTCTGTCAGTACTGCATACAAAGACGACATATGTTCCATTCTACGCTTATCGTTTTTCAGTTCCTCACAATCTAGAATTGATATTATTTTAGTTTTCACTTAAACAGATTTGGGATCAAGAAAGAAGGAAAGAGACATGGCAGACTAATCAGAATACTGTCGGTAATAATAATAAAGATTAGGTGAATAAGCTTGGAGACTACATAGGTATTCTCAAACTAGGTGAAATGAAAAAGATGGGCTGAAGTTAATATATTGATAGAGAACTGTCGCATAGAGGAAAATAGTCTTACCACTCTTACCAGTAAGAGGACTGTTATTATTATTATTGAGCTAAACTTTCACTGGAGATTAAAGGAACATTGAGCAACTTAATTGTTTAGTTGGGTTCTTGGTCGGGCTTCTTGTTGCTGTAAACTGTAAACATTTGAGAAACATATACCTGATGAGTACGTAGGTAAACGAGCTGTTCGGTTACCCATGTGATTGCTGCAGAACGCACATATACAAAGCTTGTGCTAAGCTGTCTGCCTCTGAAGTTCGCTGCCTTGACATGCAAACAAGAGTAATGATCTTTTGATGCCCTGACTGTATGGAGAGTCTTAGGTACCTTAAAGGACAGGTCAAAGAAATCGAAAGTGAGAACATAAAATCAAAGGAAAAACTAACCCGGGATGTAGAAGATTTGTCAAGATCATTGAAGGGAACCGTTAGCATAGTTAGGCAAGAAACATCAAAGGAATTCAAAAAGTTTGCAAATTCCCTAGCAAGCGACATCCAAGGTATAAAAAAGAAAGTGGCTTTACCAGTGAAATTATTTCTAATATTAAAAACAACATCAATGATACCCATAAGAAGACCTACGCTGAATATTAGCAAAGGTAAAGGAAAAAACTGAAGAATTAAAATCAAATTTACAAAACGAACTCAAGATCGACATTAAGGCAGAGAACATTAATTCATACAGGACTTTGAAAAGCTTGAGGAAAGTATCTTTGAAGGTGAGCAAAGCACAACATTATTCTCAAATGAAAACATCATGCTGGGAATTCCCAGGGATAACTCTGTCCGTCCTATCAAAGTAATCCTACCAGCAAAAGACGATGCCCAAAATGTTCTAAGGATTAAGAAAAATTGCACTGCTGAAGGTGAGAAGAACTTGAAGATTAGATACTTTAATGGCTGTCCGAAAATCGTAAGAGATCAAGCGAAACCTCAAATCCAAAACAACGCCTCAAAAAACTAAATAATCAACCTAGAATAACTGAATTAGTTGAAAATACAGTCTGACACATTTCAAAGTTTTCCTGGAAAACTAATGAAGAGAAAATTTTGAAACTTCTCGCATGTAAAGAGGAAGGCGAGAAGCTCATTTTCCCAAAATTTCAAAATTTTCCAATAGAAAATTACAACATGAGGAATCTTTGAAATCAACCTACAATAACTGAATTAATTGGAAATACAGTCTCACACATTGCAAAGTTTTCCTGGAACACTAGTGAAGGGAAAATTTTGAAACTTTTTGCATGTAAAGAGGAAGGCGAGAAGCTCATTTTCCCAAAATTTTCCAATAGAAAATTACAGCATGAGGAATCTTGGAAATCAACCTACAATAACTGAATTAATGGAAAATACAGTCTCACATATTTCAAAGTTTTCCTGGAAAACTAGTGAAGGGAAAATATTGAAACTTTTTGCATATAAAGAGGAAGGTAAGAAGCTCATTTTCCCAAAATTTCAAAATTTTCTGGTAAAAAATTACAACATGAGGAATCTTTGAAATCAACCTACAATAACTGAATTAATTGAAAATACAGTCTCAACACATTTCAAAGTTTTCCTGGAAAACAAGTGAAGGGAAAATTTTGAAACTTTTTGCATGTAAAGAGGAAGGTGTGAAGCTCATTTTCCCAAAATTTCAAATTTTTCCAGTAAAAAATTACAACATAAGGAATCTTGGAAATCAATCAACCTACAATAACTAAATTAATTGAAAATACAGTCTCACTCACATATTTCAAAGTTTTCCTGAAAAACTAGTGAAGGGAAAATTTTGAAACTTTTTGCATGTGAAGAGGAAGAAGTGAAGCTCATTTTCCCGAAATTTCAAATTTTTCCAATAGAAAATTACAACATGAGAAATCTTGGAAATCAACCTACAATAACTGAATTAATTGAAAATACAGTCTCACATATTTCAAAGTTTTCCTGGAAAACTAGTGAAGGGAGAAATTTGAAACTTTTTGCATGTAAAGAGGAAGGTGAGAAGCTCATTTTCTCAAAATTTAAAAATTTTCCAGTAGAAAATTACAGCATGAGGAATCTTGGAAATCAACCCACAATAACTGAATTAATTGAAAATACAGTCTCACACATTTCAAAGTTTTCCTGGAAAACAAGTGAAGGGAAAATTTTGAAACTTTTTGCATGTAAAGAGGAAGGTGTGAAGCTCATTTTCCCAAAATTTCAAATTTTTCCAGTAAAAAATTACAACATAAGGAATCTTGGAAATCAATCAACCTACAATAACTAAATTAATTGAAAATACAGTCTCACTCACATATTTCAAAGTTTTCCTGAAAAACTAGTGAAGGGAAAATTTTGAAACTTTTTGCATGTGAAGAGGAAGAAGTGAAGCTCATTTTCCCGAAATTTCAAATTTTTCCAATAGAAAATTACAACATGAGAAATCTTGGAAATCAACCTACAATAACTGAATTAATTGAAAATACAGTCTCACATATTTCAAAGTTTTCCTGGAAAACTAGTGAAGGGAGAAATTTGAAACTTTTTGCATGTAAAGAGGAAGGTGAGAAGCTCATTTTCTCAAAATTTAAAAATTTTCCAGTAGAAAATTACAGCATGAGGAATCTTGGAAATCAACCCACAATAACTGAATTAATTGAAAATACAGTCTCACACATTTCAAAGTTTTCCTGGAAAACAAGTGAAGGGAAAATTTTGAAACTTTTTGCATGTAAAGAGGAAGGTGTGAAGCTCATTTTCCCAAAATTTCAAATTTTTCCAGTAAAAAATTACAACATAAGGAATCTTGGAAATCAATCAACCTACAATAACTAAATTAATTGAAAATACAGTCTCACTCACATATTTCAAAGTTTTCCTGAAAAACTAGTGAAGGGAAAATTTTGAAACTTTTTGCATGTAAAGAGGAAGGTGAGAAGCTCATTTTCTCAAAATTTCAAAATTTTCCAGTAGAAAATTACAGCATGAGGAATCTTGGAAATCAACCTACAATAACTGAATTAATGGAAAATACAGTCTCACATATTTCAAAGTTTTCCTGGAAAACTAGTGAAGGGAAAATATTGAAACTTTTTGCATATAAAGAGGAAGGTAAGAAGCTCATTTTCCCAAAATTTCAAAATTTTCTGGTAAAAAATTACAACATGAGGAATCTTTGAAATCAACCTACAATAACTGAATTAATTGAAAATACAGTCTCAACACATTTCAAAGTTTTCCTGGAAAACAAGTGAAGGGAAAATTTTGAAACTTTTTGCATGTAAAGAGGAAGGTGTGAAGCTCATTTTCCCAAAATTTCAAATTTTTCCAGTAAAAAATTACAACATAAGGAATCTTGGAAATCAATCAACCTACAATAACTAAATTAATTGAAAATACAGTCTCACTCACATATTTCAAAGTTTTCCTGAAAAACTAGTGAAGGGAAAATTTTGAAACTTTTTGCATGTGAAGAGGAAGAAGTGAAGCTCATTTTCCCGAAATTTCAAATTTTTCCAATAGAAAATTACAACATGAGAAATCTTGGAAATCAACCTACAATAACTGAATTAATTGAAAATACAGTCTCACATATTTCAAAGTTTTCCTGGAAAACTAGTGAAGGGAGAAATTTGAAACTTTTTGCATGTAAAGAGGAAGGTGAGAAGCTCATTTTCTCAAAATTTAAAAATTTTCCAGTAGAAAATTACAGCATGAGGAATCTTGGAATCAACCCACAATAACTGAATTAATTGAAAATACAGTCTCACACATTTCAAAGTTTTCCTGGAAAACTAGTGAAGGGAAAATTTTGAAACTTTTTGCATGTAAAGAGGAAGGTGAGAAGCTCATTTTCTCAAAATTTAAAAATTTTCCAGTAGAAAATTACAGCATGAGGAATCTTGGAAATCAACATACAATAACTGAATTAATTGAAAATACAGTCTCACACATTTCAAAGTTTTCCTGGAAAACTAGTGAAGGGAAAATTTTGAAACTTTTTGCATGTAAAGAGGAAGGCGAGAAGCTCATTTTCTCAAAATTTCAAAATTTTCCAGTAGAAAATTGCAGCATGAGGAATCTTGGAAATCAACCTACAATAACTGAATTAATTGAAAATACAGTCTCACATATTTCAAAGTTTTCCTGGAAAACTAGTGAAGGGAAAATTTTGAAACTTTTTGCACGTGAAGAGGAAGATATATAAGAAGCTCATTTTCCCAAAATATCAAATTTTTTCAGTGGAAAACAGCAACATGAAAAATCTTGGAAATTAACCTACAAAAACGGAATTAGTTGAAAATACAGTATCACACATTCCAAAGTTTTTTTGGAAAACTAGTGAAGGAAGAAATTTGAAACTTTTTGCATGTAAAGAGGAAGGTTAGAAGCTCATTTTCCGAGAATTTCAAAATTTACCAGTAGAAAATTACAACATGAGGAATCTTGGAAATCAACCTACAAAAACTGAATTTATCGGAAATACAGTCTCGCATATTTCAAAGTTTTCCTGAAAAACTAGTGAAGGGAGAAATTTGAAACTTTTTGCATGTAAAGAGGAAGGTGAGAAGCTCATTTTCCCAAAATTTTGAAATTTTCCAGTGAAAAATAACAATATGAAAAATCTTGGAAATCAGCCTATAAAAACTGTATTCATTATTCTTTTGAATTTTTTAAATTTGGACCTGTACCTACCTAAATCACTAAGTGAAATTTTGAGAGAATTTCTTTAATAAAAATGAATATCCAACGTCCAATACAAAACTAGATTTTTTTTTTAATTTCCATCTATTACTATTTCTTATAATAAAAATGAGAATCAGTAACGTCATGACCCTACAATTTCCTTTAAATTCCTCATACATTTCTCACAAATTCTTCCAAATTCCTCATAAATTCCTCCAAATTCCCTATAAGTTCCCCTCGAAATTCCCCAAATTCTCATAAATTTCGATGAGTTCCTTCAAATTTCCCACAAATTCCTCTAAATTCCCCACATTTTTGGCAAAGAATTCCTAGGTGGTTTTCCCCTTGCTACAACCCTACAAATATATGAGTTATCATCAGACCTATGTTAGAGTATGCTCAATCAGTTTGGAATCCCTACTATGCCAGAGGCATTGACGAATTGGAGAGAGTTCAAAGAAGAATCACTTACATTCCACCAGAAATTTGAGTCCTCACATACGAAGACTGTTTGAAGCAGTTCAAGGGGATTTAATTACAACTTATAAAATCCAGTAATTACTACTCTGTCAACATGAATATATGTATATACTCTAAGTGACAACCACAACCTTCGGAGACACTCGAAAAGATTGGAGAAAGAGAGATGTTCTAAACTCCTCAGAAGAAATTTCTTGTGCAACAGGGTCTTGTTATTATTTTGCAACCCAACTCGAAAGCATTAAAACGGGATATCGCTCAGAGCTGCACAGAGTTTTCACCACAAAATAACCAGATCTTAATACTTCAATTGTCACGGAACAGGGATTGATTGATCAGAAGTGTGTAATATTGAAAAACAATAGGCTAACAGCACACGAGACACAGAAAATTAGATAGTACATACATACATACATGAGTACATATTAGGTCTGTTTCTGCAGAAATCACAAACCAGTCAGAGTGAATTTCCTTAGTGAAACTAGTTTTCTGACTATTTTCAACCAATGAAATACGCTCTAACTAGTTTGTGATTTCTGCAGAAACAGACCTATAGAAAGCCATATTAATAAAAACATGCAATATAACCCAAACTTTCCTCAAATTCTGTGATAATAAGAGTTTCCACTGTACCGGTTGGAATTGTCAGTAACTTTAGTGTCTGTTCTTATAATATGGATGACAAAGAAATTATATTATATTGTTTTATGAACTAGAAAGAAGAAAAGAAAGCACACATTTATCTCACACATAGTTCTTTATAGAACTGTGCCAGAATAATTTTCAATTTACTTTAGACTTCTTGTCGAACTTCTTGTGCAATTGTTAAAAACGTTTTTTGCCAACATGGTCCAAGTATCATGTTTGCATTCCTGTATTTATATATCGCAACTCTTGTGAATTCTACCAGCAATCGTTTAATTTATGATTATCAATTAATTTGATTACAGCTTCATTGGTATACAGTACACACAAACATGTTTGTACTTGTACCTTTCATAAATAGAACTACTTAACGACTGAAAAAGCCATGCATCACAACCAAAGTCTATTTTCAGTTACTTATTCGATTCCAACAAGTAGCAACTTGTTTAAACTTCTTATAGGACGTTTAGTGCTTAAACTCAACGCTTAGAGCTTAAACTCAACGCTTAGAGCAGTGAAATTTTAATAGAGAAGTTCACACTTCTCTACAGGCATTAATGTGTGAAACATAATAGAGCAACTTGAAAGATTATTTTATTTGCCAAAACAAGCAGCAGAAATAAAAGTTTCCTAATGATCCTCCAGTGGAAACAAAGTTTTACTAGTAGTTCTTTCATTGAGAACAAGACCATGCTATTGTGCCATTGTGAAGTAAGTAGGAAAACTCCATTTAAGCCAGATTTGTTGGGACTTACGTGACATTAAATCCATCCATAATCTGTAGTTTTTTTCAGTGTAGTAGCCCTTAACAGTAGCTCCTCCTTTATCCAACTTTCTAATCAACCTGTAAATTCAAAATTCAACCTTTCGATAACCAAATTGGGAAACATATTGTAGTCTCTCACCTGAATAATATTCTTGCAGCATCTGGTAAAATCCTAGGGTTGATTCGTTTCAAATTTTTACATTCTTGCTTGTGCACAGCCCAAGCCTGTTTTTGGCAGGCTTGACCACAATAATACACATATTTGCAGTTTGAACATTTTAATAAATCAGTTCCCCTGAAAACTTTAGGCTTGTATAATTATTATTAACTATGAAATATAAGGATTATTAAAAGAAAAATCGTGCACTTACATTTTCAAGCAAAAATCACAACACTCAGTGCGATATTTAGAACTCAAACTATAGACAAATGGTTGTTCTTTATGAATTGTAGTTCCCACAGGAACCACTTCTTTTTTAATAGGCATTCCGTTATTATCAGAACAATTTTCCTCTGAAAATGAAACTGTGGAGAAGTAGATACGCACCAGGTAAAAGTTAGGCTCAAGGCTCAAAGTAATATAAGATGCATGCTATTAATAACAGAACTATAAATTGTAGACAGTATTTTTAGCACGAAATTTATGATTTTTAAATCGAAGAGCCTCAGGGCTTATGCTAAAATCAACAAAAACTTGGAGCATATTAGTGTAAACAGTTTTAAATATAGAAACAGCGTTAGGTGATTAATTTTCATGGGGTTTAAGTAATTAGTTCAATGCTTAATTACTGATGGATAATGAAGCAATTTAAAAAAATACAATAATATTTACTCTATATGAAGAAGTAGGTAAGTACCTTTGAAGGGTTCCATAGTAGCACTTTGAAACTATAAATTAATCGTAGAAAAATGATTTCGTTTCAGAACATAATCAAATAACAATAATAAATATCTGACATCATATTCATAATCAAAACAAACATGATGGGAAATCTAACCTTTAAATTTCTTTTTTTTTTAACTGCCTTAGGCCCGGTTTATTCATCTTCAGATAAACTTGCTGGTATCTTATCTGCAAGATAAATTTACTGTTCTTGTGTTCTTGTATTGGTCGGCGGATAACTAGCCGACCAATGGGATGTGATAGCAGTTTATCAGAGGGTTAATACTGGTTAATAAAAACTGAGTTCGGCTATTCAGCGCGGAGTTAGAGTGGAGTGAACAGAGCTAATGGAGTCACCCCTGAAGCCTAGTACTCATAACTGCGAAATTCGCACTTTTTTGACATTGCTTCGACAATTTGAAGTTTGATTCACGCATAAAATGTCAAATTGTCAAAAAAGTGCGAATTTCGCAGTCATGAGTACTAGGCTTAACGGTAAAAAGCAATACCCGAACCTTAACCCGAACGGCTGGAATGCGAATTGAGTCACTCGGAGTGAGCAAGCCGAACCCACCTAAAGATGGCGTGGCGGACACACATGGGCCAAAAAACACAAAAAAATATCTGGTTTCTGCCTGATTAGAATTTTGCTTGCAACTCTGATTTTGATTATTTATTAAAATATTTGTTCACTGTACCTGAACGCATGAAATACGCATGGAAACATATTCAAAACAGACTTGCTTGGCCGCCACGCCATATTGAATTTTCCTATTTGACAGATGGATTACACCAGCCTAGAGCCGCGAAATTCGTTTTTTTTTTTACATTACTTCGACAATCTGACGTTTGATTCACGCATAAAACGTCAAATTGACGAAGCAATGTCAAAAAAGAGGGAATTTGGCTGTTATGATGAGTACTAAGCTTAGGGCGAGTATTATAAAACTACTGGAATTACATGTTATTCAAAAAGTTAACTGTCAATGCAGTTCTATAATACCCGCCCTTAGTACTCATAACAGGGGATGGACGATATTTTTCTTCCAATTTATCGGCCGATATTTTTTTGTTGCGATATATCGGTATATCGATATCAAAATCTACTATCTGTGCGATATATATTTTTTTCATCTTCAAACAGATTTACCAACTGAAAATTATCAAGAATAATGGATAATTTTTTTTTTTTCAATCGAATGCATTAAAGAAAGATAAAAAGCAAACAGCTGGTGATCAGAGCCGCTTTCGGGTGTTCCTAGAACACTTCACACCTGTCAGTAACCTGTCATACTACATGCGTTTTGCATTCGAACGCTTGAAACCGACCGCGTCAAACTGTAGCCGGAGTACTTCCGAGTAGCTCGGGAGCGCTCAAATGGTGGCACCCGAAAGCAGCTCAGGTTAATCACAGGTGTTTCCGTTAATGCATGAAAGAAAACCCCTATCCACTAAAAAAAAATGACCATTTCAAGCCTGTTGTTGTCGTTTTTTAGATTATAAGCGAATTTTCGCGACGAACTACTTCGTTGATTCCGTGAACTCAAATGCTTTCGCGAGAAACTCATGACGTCATAGTAAAGGTAGTTCGCCGGAAGCATGGACGCAACTTCAAGCCAGCGTTCAAACTCATGACGTCACAAATAAACTATTGATGAACTACATTCGTCGCGAAAATTCAGTTTATGTTATGGCCAAGCAGGATGATACACACCTACAGGATTTCTTATCAACCTCGTTTTTGGTAATCGCCGCTACATTGGTGTGTCACCATTTCCGACGTCATAACTAAGTCGTCAGCTGTTCAAGCGGCCTACGTCAAGGCGAGAACTAACATGCTGCCTACGTCACAACTGGTGATTTAGCGGGGGGGATTTGTCCCACACAGGTTTTATGGATCTAAGGTTTTATGAGGATAGGCTATCCTGAGCTGCTTTACAGTATGCACATTGGCGAGCTCTGGAGCACCTCGGGGGCGCCACGCACTAGATTTGTTCTCCACCAATATCATGGCGTGAGACGCCTGTCTTAGTGTCAAATATGTCAAATTTTAAAAATAATTATCTGTTTGTGTGTGCAGTTTGTTTTTTTATTTATCAAAAATGAAAGAGAATCAAAACTATGTTTTGAAAATGTCCAATCCCGAGATATAAGAAGAAATAAATAAATAAATAGCCACTCACGGATGTGACAGCTGACAGGTTGACGCGTACGTACAGCTCGGGAGCTCAACGCACTGAGTAGCTCCGAGCGTCACTCTCCCATACTGGAAAGCGGCTCTGTAGTAGTAGTGTGTATCATCCTTGATGGCCAACAGCATCCACAGGTTCGATGTTTCAGACTTTTTTGTTTTATGATTTTAAATGTCGATATCTCGATACTTTTCAACGATATATCGAATGCTCGATACAAATACAATATATTACAAAAATATCGATATACCTATATACAGTGTGATTTTTTAAGTGTGCTACATATGGGATTTTTTTTTAGTAATAGCACAAGCCAAATACAAACAAGGCCAAAAGTTGGTGCATGTCTGACATTGTATCATAAACAGTTTTTGTAATAATTTTCAGCTATACTACACGTGACTTTGACAAGGTCCGCCATATTTGCTGAGGTGCAACCAAAGCCATGGGTACATTCAGGCGGTCCCGGCGGCTAAGCTCAGCAAACTGTGGCTCAGCTACTCAGCAGGGACTCTATTCTCGAAACCAAGGAACAGCGTTCTCATAAGAACGATTGCTCTGTCATTGTCAGTGTTATGCCGGGGACGACAAAGATAGAACCTTAGTTCCAATGAGAACGCTGCTCCCCGGTTTCGAGAATAACGTTCCCGCTGAGTGGCTGAACTAAGCAGCTAGCACCGCCTGAATGTACCCATAGATCATAATTGTTTAGGGTGTTTTTTGTGAGTTTGTGCTTCGGAATTTTTGCGTTTTTTGATTGGTTCAATAAGTTTTTAGTTGTTTTTAGTTTTTGTGAATGAATGGAATGAATGAATGAATCTTTATTTACAGACATTGCCACTTTACATTTCAATTCAACAATAGTAAACAAACAATTTATTAACAAAAATAATGCTCAAGAATCTGAATTGTTTAAAAAATAAAAATGTTTGATACTAACAACCTTACAAATAAACTTTAGCAAAATAAATTTGTGGTAGAATGACTGTTCTGATTGGTGCACTGCACAGATCTGGCATGTAGATTAGCTTACTGGCTTGCTCATTCTGGGCTTATATCAATTATTATCGTAGTATATCCTAAATTTGTACTGGGGACCCAATCCGGATTGTTTGTATCCTCAAATTCTGCTGGACTACTTAAAAGATATTAAAAGTTACCTACTTGTAGAAACATAAACAACTTTTTTGATATAGCGAGATGAAGTGTTTTTGTATTTTAACAACAAGACAGTCATAAAACTTACCATTAACAAAATGTTTTGAACAAATTCGAGCATTTTCAACAACGTTACAGTCAAATCTCCCCTTTTGAGGCATCTAATTCACATACTCCGTTGTTCTTTGATAGCTCGTTCATCCCTAATAGCACATAACATTTAGGGTTTCCATACGTCCGGATTTACCCGGACATGTTTGGGTTTCTGGGGTGTCCGGGGAAGTCCGGCCGGAATTCGGAACAATGTCCGGAAAACTCGGAGAGCGTGAAAACACTCATACTCAGTTTACATACTCTTCAAAAGACGTAAAATTTTACTTCACGCATTAGTACGTAAAGCAATGAACTAAACAAACACACTGGAACGGTGGCTACATAATGTTCTTAATGCAAGGGTTTGTGCCAGGAAGGACAACAAACAAGAGGGATTTGTATCTCTCTCTGCACTATGGCGGCTATTGAGAACAGCTGTTTGAAGTGTTTGGATCATTGAGGTAAGGAAGATGAAGAAGCTCTTCTTTCTTTTACGTTAATCGCAATGAGTGGGAGCGAGACAAAAATCCCTTTGTATTGCTGGGTTGCATATATCAAAATTCGGCACACTAGGATAAAGCAGTGCGCACGTTCCAGAGAGTTTGTTTAGTTCAATGATGTAAAGTAATTCACTTTACACACTAGTGTCATGATAGATGTCGACATTGTCATTTTTTTATAGTAAATTAGCTAAATAAATTTAGACAAATACTTTACGCACTAGTGCGTAAAGTATTTGTCTAAGTTTATATTTTCACACATATTTTATTAGGAATTTTTTTTTGTTTATGCAATACATGTGTGAAGTGAACGGTTTTTTCAGGAATGTGAATTTTGTCGCTTTCGCCTTTCACTCTATACACTTGTTGCATAAATAACTATTTCGCAGAAGTCCGGATTTTGTCCGGATTTCTTGACTCCTGTGTCCTGAATTCCGAAAAACCTTTATGGAAACCCTAATAACATTCCATGTACATTCGCAGAACATACATTTAGGACATAAGGAACATTCCATGAATGTCTCCTAATGTTCTAAGACATTCCATGAACATTCAGGGAAAAGCCTTTGTCAGCATTTTGAATGTTCCGTGAACATTTTATTGAACATTCACCGAATATCTTCGTATGTTCTACATACATTCAGGGAATATTTTTTGGATTTACTTAGGATATACCAGGAATGTTTGGTTGGGTACATTCAAAATCATACACAGGTATTATATATATTATATATATTATAGATACATTATTATACATACATGATTATACATATCCAAAGAAATGGAAGAAACAAAAGATTGATTCTTTACAAAAAAAAAGTTACTATGAAATTGTTACAGAAAAAATTAATAAAAATGATTGCTTATTATTTCTAGGGTACTTTGTTACTATAAAACACAAGCACTCTGGCTAACTGAACATAAAATTTATCAACTATTAAAGCACTAGCGCTCTGGGCTGGGGCCAACTAAACACAAAATTTACCAAAACAAAAACACAAAAAGATGCTATAATGTAAACCATAACCTCAAATACCTAGGTACACCAAGAGTTATTAATTCTAGAACAATAAATTTCTCGTCGAACGTGGAACACAAATCAATAATTGATTGTTAGTTGTTAATGATCACTAGACACAATCACGGCACACATTCATCACACAAACTTAATAAAAATATTCCATTTCCAACGGCGTTGCTCTTCAATTTTTTTTCACAAACTCCGTGCATAAGACTGAATCTCCTGCAGAAATATTCCTTGATCATTCATTTTATGTCTAAAAAATCTTGACTTTCGTAGAACATTCATAGAATATGCTGATAAAATATTCTATGAACATACCTACCTAAAAAGATATTCCAGGAACAATCCTTCAATGTCTAGGACATTCAAACTTTCACAGGACTTTGCTGGAACATTCTCTGAATATCTTGTGCTATTAGGGATGCGATCCCCTCGATCTTTAAATGCTTCTGGAATCTTAGAAAAGCTTACTTTATCCCTTTCAGCTCTATTGGAGCACCCAAAAACGCCATAAAACTAAGGCATCTTCACGAAATAATACTTCAAAAATTCTCGGTTGCATTGAAAATAACACTAAATTAGGTTATGTTTGGCTTGTGTCTGCCCCTCAGTTAAAATGGCGGATCGGTTATCAGCTTAGACAAGGAAAGAGAGAGGACGCGTAACATCCTTTACCTGCACTAGCAGCTGGTTGTGACTGTTTGTCACCAAATAATGGCGACAATTTTTCATGGTGCCACTATGTGAATTTTACTTCAGACTAACATTTTTGTGATATTCAGTATGGAGGATTGCTGGCGTATGGCTGCAAAACCCGCAGAGAAAAAAAAGTCGACGGGATTACATTTAACAGGCAAAAAACAATATGCTTTCTAGGTTATGTTATGAAAGAAGCAGACATTTTTTGGTGACAAAAACTGCTTCATTTTCACCTGCTGTGTTACGAGTCCCCTCTCTTTCCTTGTCTAAGGTTATCAGCTAAGGTTATCAGTAAATGGACGATTTAATTATCTGTCACCCACAAGCGGCGCGCGCAGCACAGGGAAAATGGTTGCCTTCCTAAGCACTCAACATGTTGAGTGATTATAGTCAGCGGCTATGTTGAAAACAGATGAAAATCAGCTCTAGGCCAATAAAAACTTTTCTACCTTGTGGATTTCACTAGCTGGAACAAAGCCGCTTACTAATCACTCAACATGTTGAGTGCTTAGGAACGCGACCATTTTGAGAAAGGTCCGAGCACATCCGTATGTCTATGTGTCAAAGTACCTGCATGTGGCAAAAATCCAAGAAAAAATCAAGGTGGCAGGTACAAGCTTATATATCTTTCAATTGAAAGTCCATAAAATGTTTCTTTTTTTTTCTGTTCAGTGCAAAGGTCGGTAATCCCAAGCAATGCGATTCCAATTTGTATTTATAAAATAAGTTTATGGAGGAAAGAAGGCAGCTTATCAAAAATAATTTAAAACCTGCGGCTGAAGGATCAGTAAAACCTTTGCCTTCTGTGAGAGAGCGACAGAAAACTTCTACTTCGGAAAGGACTCTTACCAGAAGACACAAATCCCAAAAGCAGTGCATCCTCCAAATAACTTGGGACAGACGCTGATGGAAACACCCCTACTGCTGCAGCTCAGCATCAGGTAAAAATGAAGCACGATATTTTTTAAAATACAATTGGTAATATTATAGATGCCAGTTCCCCAAACTTCGAATTATTGGAATACCATATTAATATGAGGATATGAGGCATTCCAGGTCACGTGACTTTGACAAGGTCCGCCATATTTGCTGAGGGGCAAACGCCTATAGATCATGTTTACAGTGGTCGGGTTAATCAAAAATTATTAAAATTAATGAGTTCCGCTTGAAACACTGAGCGCTCGGACCATTTTCCATCTTTTTTCCTTTTGGTGAAAAGAACAGGGATAAAATTTGCTACAATTGTAATAATTTGGCAACACTGCTGATGATCGCTATTGTAGCGCTACGTCCTGGGGTGTGTTCAAAGACGGCAATGCTTATGCCAAAACTTACTTTTCCCCCTCCACCGGTAATGCCGAACCACGTAGGTCGGAGCCAAACTCGAACGCAAAATGCCAATTTTGGCTTGGCTGTAGCCATTCCTGAACGCAGCCCTGGGCTGCGTTCAAAAACGGCTAAAGCCGCGCCAAAATTGGCATATTGCGTTCAAGTTCGGCTCCAGCGTGCGAAAAACGGTTGGCTTTACACGTTCCAAATCGGCCGCGGTAAAGTAACTTTTGGAGGCTCTTTCAACTGAGTCTAGAAATGGTTATACGAATTTTGATTGGATGAGATCAAATTCAATATGGCGCGGCGGCCAGCAAGTTGGTTTTGAATATAAGTTTCCATGCACTTATTTCAATCATTTTGTTTGTTTCGCAGATTTGATTTTGATTATTCAATAAAATATTTGTTAACTAGGTACGTATACTACTAAGTCGGGCAGAAACTAGATATTTTCTTGTGTTTTTGGTCCATGTGTGGTCGCCACACCATCTTGAATGTCACGTGGTTTGGATTGCCTAATTGAGAAACGGTATTTGTCGTTCCAGCAAATTCACATCAGAGGCCTTATTCTTGACTTTCTCTGGAGAGAAAATTTGACTGTGTTGACTATTAAACAGTGCATTAACTGTTAACAATGTCAAATTTTCTACCTAGGTAAAGTCAAGAATAATGCCACAGATTTGGCATCGCCAGTAGAAGGGGAAAAGTAGGTTTTGGCATTAGCATTGCCGTCTGTGAACACACTCCGGATGAACCCGACCTTTTTTGATGATAGCGTTTTCTGTTGGTAAAACTCGTGTTGCACTCATGCAAAAATTATGTTCTGTTGGCAGTTTCCGAGCGGGTTTTTATGTTCTATTGGAAAACCAGGGCAATCAATTATTGCCCTCGTGCAACTTTTCCAGCACGAGGTCAGAGAGCTCGTGCCAATGTCAGGGCACAACAAAGATGGCGAAAAGTGCGAAAAATCTGTGTATATACAAAACCAAAAAATTATGGATATCGATATTGATAAAATTCTATATTTTTTATCTTCGTCGAGCGACAGCGATGAAGAGGAAGAATTATTAGGTCTGTTTCTGCAGAAATCACCAAACCAGTCAGAGTGAATTTCATTGGTTGGAACTAGTTTTCTGACTGTTTCTGACTGTTTTCAACCAATGAAATTTACTCTGACTGGTTTGTGATTTCTGCAGAAACAGACCTATCATTATTATCTACAATCGCAGGCCTATGATGTATCATTTTCTGTTATTTTAACAGCAACGTCAAAATAGAGACAGAAATAGATGTTGAGCCTTAACACAGACGTTGAAAGAACAGGACAGGATACATCATAGGAGGCCTGAATGTTTGCCAGGGATAATGAGATACCAAAAATTCAAAATTTTATTATTGAAATTGACATAAAAATTAATTTCAACGCAGGTATCATTGGAATTATTTCTGCACATCTCGGGAGACAGCATAATTATGTACTTTACATACAGGAAAAACTTCGGTTTTCAACTTTTTCATACACACAAACGTTTTTAATTTTTATTCCATTGAAAATATCTTTAGGTTAGGTTAGGGATCAGGGATCGTTAAATAATAAATTTGAAAAGAATGACAAAACGCGCCAAATTCATGTTCTTTTGGGATTGCACTAAACGTGAACTGATTCAGTGTTGAGTGCAGAACTCGGACAGCACTAGTTTTACCAACAGAAAACGCTATGAGTTTGTGCTTCGGAATTTTTGCGTTTTTTGATTTGTTCAATAAGTTTTAAGTTGTTTTTTGTGAATGAATGGAATGAATGAATGTATCTTTATTTACAGACATGCCACTTTACATTTCAACGCAACAATAGTAAACAAACAGTTTATTAACAAAAATAATGGTTAAGAATTTAAATTGTTTAAAAAATAAAAAAGTTTGATACTAACAACCTTACAAATAAACTTTAGCAAAATAAAATTGTGGTAGAATGACTCCTTAAACGTTTTGACTGTTCTGATCGGTACACAGATCTGGCATGTAGCTTAGCTTACTGGCTTGTTCATTCTGGGCTTTTATCTATTATCCAGTGTTGCCAATCGGCGGATAATTCTCCGTTTTTCGGAGAATTTTGGGGTCTGCGGAGAATTGTGCGGAGATTCACTTTTTGCGGAGAATTGTGCGGAGATATTTTTTTATCAACATATTGACGTGAAAATTAAAATCAATTCAAAATTTCAGCTAAAATAAAAATTTAAGAAGATATTTGGAATTCAGCACACAATGCATATAAAATGTGTGCATTTCTTGGACATTAAACTACCTGTAGGTATCTCGAAAACTAGTCATAGGACAGTGTTGCCAATGTGGTGAAGTCGGATTACCCCGAGTTTCTAGTTGAAATTACCCGAAATTACCCCATCTTTACTCGCTTTTGCTGTGGTGTTACCAGGTTTTTGTGGCGAGGAAAGGGGCATTTTCCGAAACAGCGCTAAGCAAAAAAAAAAAGTATTTTAGGGCTCCACGTATCTTTTTTTTTTGGGGTATAGGAGAGAAAAGGATAAAGATATCTCATGCTTCATGCCTAGCCAATCGATATTGGGTTTGTTCGGAGTTAGTTCAGAATCAGTTTGGAATTGACCTATCTTTTTTTACCTTAACTGCGCTCGCAACTCGTGGGTTGCAGGTGAGCGTCCACAGGGACACTTTATCCGTTAGGACAATTAGGTCATGTCCTACGGGCCACTAGAGAATGGAAGGCCAAACTGCTGGCGTTTAATTTTTTGTGATTTCTGCAAAAACAGACCTAATATAAAATATATAAGCCCAATATATTAAAAACATCGACTTGTTTAGTAGCAGGACTAGTATATGTTTCAATACTCTTTAATTCCTATAATTCACACTGCACAAGCACATTTGGCTTGGCCTGACGTCACAATGCTCTGGCATCGCTCCGCTCGCTTCATTGAGCATCAATCCATAACACACCCTTAAGTCACCGAGTTGCGCTGACTTGTCGTCGCGTCATAGCGCAGCACGGGCACGTGGAAACTGGCAACGACTACAGCAGGAACCTGTTAGTGTTTGCGCTGCTTTGCCAAATTGTAAGCTTCTTTGAGCTCCTTCTGGAGCACCTAGGGACTTTAGTAGTGTCTTAAGGGTCCAGTGTACCACGAAGTCGTGCCTTGTTGTTCTTGAGCTTGTAGGACATGCACAGGCAACGTGGTACGAATTTTCCTCAGAGTTGAAACCCTTTATGCATCTCTTCTTCGCTAATGGATTTGATCCCAAGCCATGCAGCTGTTCTTCCGAAGCACCCATCAGTACACTTTTAGTCTTCAGCATCCACATGTGGTGATTGGTAGGCTGGGAACTCAATGCCATCATTTTCATTTAGGACGTTCCTACCATATAGCATGTTTATTTATGACCATTCTTGTTCCATCATTTGGTAGTACCTTTCTTTGATTTTACTGGATACTACTTAGCAACATTTTTTGTCTTTATATTCTGGTAAGTAGTTTGAAATCGTCTGAATCATTTTATTTAACCCCATAAAAAAGAACAATCACTCATGAAAAGCCATACCAAATAATTGACCTACCCTACGGGCCAGAGAAAGGTTAAAGCGTCACTGAGCGTCCAATGCAGTGTTGCCGGAACGAGAATTCTCATTACCCTTTCCAATCTCATAAAATACCCAATTAGGCAATTCAATCCATCTGTCAAAAAGGGAAATTCAATGTGGCGTGGCGGCCAAACAAGTTTGTTTTGAATATGTTTTTATGCGCATTTTAAATTATTTTGCATACACTTTTTCTTACAACTTTGATTTAAATTATTTAATAAAATATTTATTGACTAGGTACCTAAACTATTAATTCGGGCAGAAATTAAATATTTTTTTTGTGTTTTTTGGTCCATGTGTGGCCGCCACGCCATCTTGAATGTCACGTGGTTTGAATTGCCTAATTTTACCTGGACACTGAAAACAAAATCCCCAAATCATTAAGCTAGGTTAGGGCACGGGCCACGTTTTCAAAATCATTAATGACACATGCGCATTTTCACCGATGTAGTGCTGTGCTTGTCATTTGACAGCATCAAAACAAGGATAAGTAATTTACTCATCAAGAGAAAGCACGTGGCGCAAGTTTTTAAATTCAACAAATTTATGTCAAAAATTACAATTTTGACATAAATTGGGCAAGTTTTTAAATTCATCAATAGACCTATCTATTTTACCAGACAAAGAGGTAATAATACGAAAACTTCATTAGAAAAAAAAAGACACAGAACGCTCATTGCGCAAGACGAGGCAAAACGTACCAAATTATGTTAGACTTACGTATAGCAATCCGTCCTTCTTATTTGCACAGGATAAAAAGGAAAGGAGAAAAACCGCGTGTTGTGCAAAAGGCAGTGCACAGCCTCCTATAGTTAACAAGCCATGAAATTGGAAATGACGGCAACGTCGCGTATGGTGCTATTTTGTTATTGGGTTATGTGTTTCTGTGTATTGCTTTCATTGTGTATTGTTGCAAGTATTTTTATGGGCATTATTGACGAAAAAGTGGATAGAAACACACCAATATATTGCCTATATTTAGTTGATACCTGTTCCTTTGTGCTTTGATTGTAAATTTTTAGCAAATGGGTACAGGAGCAAAAATGAAGGTAAGGTAAGGTAAAACAATAAAAACAATATTAGGCCTGTTCGCACAGCAATCACAAACCAGTCAGAGCGAAGTTCATTGGTTGGAAACAGTCAGAAACAGTCAGAAAACTAGTTTTAACCAATGAAATTCGCTCTGACTGGTTTGTGATTTCTGTGCGAACAGGCCTATTAATATTTGTCTGCAAGAGCATAGGTCTCGATATATTACCTAAGATATTTAAACTTGTTCCAGATGCCATGAAACTACTGTGTTCCTGGGTGCAAATCGAACTATTAGGAGTTCCTTAAAAACTGAAGAAATGCAAACATTTTTATTTCCAAAAAAATTCTGAAGTGCAAAAAATGTGGATGAAAGCAATACACCAAGATAATTATACCGGAGATTATACAATAACGAAAAATTCTGTGGTGTGTTGTAAACATTTTGAAGAAACCGAAATAATTAGATTTGAAACAAACAAGGATAAAGGCGTAGTTCGAGAGTTCAAACTAAAACGTCCAACTCTTAAAAGTAGGTACCTCTTATTTTCGAAAATCAGCTCAAGTATTTGAATGGACTTGCCTTCCGAAAAAATCCCGAAGAAAGAAAAAGTTAGATTTTCAAAAGACATACTGAAACATAGGCCTATAACACTTTAGACTCTAGAAATATATTCATTTAAATCAATTATTTACTGTGCTTATCACTTGACTTTTGTAGTGGCTTGTATACTTCTGCTTGAGTTGTGATGTTATTAATTTCTTGCAAATTTGACTTTTCAGACTGAAGCGGTTCCTTTTCTGCTTTATGCTGACTACTATCTTGTCCCTCGGCTTCTAGATTTATCATTTGGGTTTTTGCTTCTGTCTTGTTGTTTGTAAGAAAACAGATTTTAGCACTACATAATTGTTTTTTATATTTTACTTTACACATTGCACCAACTTTTAAGTCTCCTAATATCTCAGTTCCCTTCACAACATCTAAATTGTTTTCTTCACTCCACAAAATAACCACCCACAAGTCCTCCTTGCCAAAAACAGCCTGTCCCTTCATCCTAATCGCTTTTCCTTGTTACTTTGTTGAAGAATGAACTATAGTCCTTGTTACGAATAACTTGAAAATTTGACCGTTATTTTTTACCAACCCAAGAAATAAAAAATCCCTTCCTTCAAATTCATAACTAATTTCTATAGGTTGCACCAGTTCTAAGGAGCAGCATGCTGTCTTTTTTTATTCCTTTAAAAAAAAAGGACACACATAGCATAACAGCTCTTTCCCTGCCTTTAAAAAAAAAGGAGAAACGAAATGTCAAAAGTATTGATATTGACAAAAAATGTCAGATGCGTATTATTGCAATTTGTGTGTCCTTTTTTTACAGGAAAAAAAAAAGACAGCATGCTGCTCCTCTTGAAAGAGACAATTCCACAAGGTTTCACTTTAAAAGCTAGTGCAAAAAGGGTCCAACTACCATCCAAATGGTGTTTGGCTCCTTTTTACGCCAAAAAATTTCGACGCAAAAAGGTGACAATTACCAGCGTCTGGCATTTGGAACCTTATTGCCTGAGGCAAGTTTAATTGTTGGGCGTTTGTCCCCTAGTCTATCTTTTAAATACGTTACTATGCAGTTGTCACCTTTTTACACTCGATAAAATATGATCTTAGCATACCAAAAATAGGTACAACTCAAAATCAGGTATATTGGCGTTTGGCACCTTCTTGCGCAATGGTGGCGATATATTTATACAAACAAACACCACCAGCACCACTTGGCGGTAAGATTGCGGTGTTGCCTTTTTAACTTCATGGCTTGTTAAATGTAGGGGGCTGTGGACAGTGCCAATGCCAAAAAATTGGCGCCATAAATTTGAATAGGGCAATCCAACGACTTGTCAAAATGGAATTCAAAATGGAGGCCAATGCGTTTTTTCTACTAATAATTTCTTAAACTAAAAACTTTCCATCTTATAATACGAAAATTATCCTCTCAAATACTAGAAAATCATCTAAAAGCAACACAAAAAACAGGTTTTTGATTGATGAAAAATGTCACGATTGCTTGAATTAAATTTATGGCGCCAATTTTTTGGCATTGGCCATGCATTGACCACCATTTTGTTTGGATTGCCCTATTTTTTCAAGTACTTTTAGCGAGTAACTGAACGAGAGAGGTCTAATATTAATTAACTCTAATGATTATCGATTTTTTAGTTCAATATGCCTGGAAGAATAGAATATGCGCTGTAGCTGTTCGCAAAAACAATCAATTAGCTCTCACGAAGCAAGGCATGAGCAAAAGTGTTTCATTATTTCCAAAAGGCAAGGATTTAGTCCTAACAGATTGGCCATCCACGTCAACTACGACAATTTCCAAACATTGTAAAAGTTAACATTAAGCTTCGATTACCCGAAATTACCCGATTTATAAAATGTTAGAAAATTACCCCGCTCTCAGTCAAATTACCCGCAAATCGGGTAATTACCCGCATATTGGCAACACTATCATAGGATCAAGTTGTGGCTATGAACACTTCTAATCAGAATGTTGAGAGGAGCATCAAAGGACCCCGCACACCTCTTATGGGATTTGGGACTTCCACCAAATTCTAGTATGATATAAACTTGACCTTGACTAGTTTTTGAGATACAAGTAGCTTAATGTCCAAAAAATGTACACATTTTAATGTGAGCGTGAGGATACCTGTCCATAGGGTTGCCAGGCGTCCTGGATTTCGCAGGATGTCCTGGATTCATTCAGGGTCTTGCGTCCTGCGTCCTGCTGGAGTTGTCCGCAGGACACTAAATGTCCTGCATTTCATAAAATCCTTACTCTTAGAATATTTTTAAAAAATCTTTTATTTCGGCTGAGCTATTTTGGTTATTTACACACCAAGTGAGTTAAATGAGTGTTTATTCATGAGGAGAAAGTTTAACCCACGAGCCCTAGCGAGTGGGTTAATTTTTTTCGAATGAATAAACATTTTAACGTGATGTATACAAAATTTTATCTTATTTTGTGGAAATCTAAAATATAAAAAACTTGCAGCTCGAACTCTTGGGGGTTGCGCGCATTATATTGATAATTCCTCCTGTAACAGCTTATTTAGTGTTTATTCGAATTAATTTTGATATTCTTGGTAATTCAGGTCCAGGATTATCAGTAAAGCCATGCGACATGCCATAATATAGGTACCTATTTATCGAGGTACCTATTTATTATGTTTTCAATTTATATATTACTAGCTAATGACTTGCTGCGTTGCCAGCATGTAAATACATTTTGAAATAATACACTTCTTTTCAAATTTTGTTGTTGATTTTCTATTTATTTATTATTTTTTTTTAATCCGATATCATAGTCGCTTGCCAGTGAGTTCAGTGACGCATTTTAAGCACTCCAGAGCTGCTCTAGAGCGCCCCGGGCTGTTTATAGGCGTTCCAGTGTATCAGAGTTTTACGCAACCGAACTTTTTTTTCGGGATAAAAAATAGCCTATATCACTCTCCTCTATAGCCGATTCGATTGACCGGATTAGATCGATCTGGTTCAATTTAAGTGAACCACACTGTGTTCGATTCAAGCTGGATCAGTGCACCCTCATCAACAAAAAAATGATCTAGATCAGAAGAAGTTCACTTAAATTGAACCCAAATCGATCTAATCTGGGTCAATCGATTTCACCTTATATATAGATACGTGGTATTAATTCAAGAGCGGTCCAGCCGTTCT